CCCCCCCCCCCCCCCGAGATGACCTGCGGTTTTCTAATACAACTAGCGGTAGTCTGCAAAAAAAAAAAACTATGTGGTTTATTGGTGTTGGAAGTAGAGCAAGAGACGAGTGCACCCCCTCCTAAAAAAAATCCTGGATCCGCCCCTGATGTTGGTGGGAGGAGAGTGCTCTCACCATGCTGCCAACCTCAACAGATATTGACAGCACGTTTAATTCCTCACTAGGATGGTAAAAGTGGACGTACTCCTCTTCACCATGCCGTAGAAGCAGAAAATGTTGAACTCATTGAAGAACTGCTCAAGTGCGGGGCAAACCCTAGTGAACCAGCATTCTCTGGGAACACTCCACTGCAAATTGCGAGTGGACGATGCATGCAGAATATCAGAGGTCTTCTTGAAGCCAACACATCAAAAACTGCAGTTATTGGAAAATTCAAATTGGTAAGGAAATTGCATTTGATTTGATCGTCTCTGTCTTCCTTATGGTCTCAGGGAGGACTCCCTAGTAATAATCTTGGCTTTTCACATTGGAAAATTTTGAAACCAAAAAAATTAACACACTGATATCATGAAAAAATTCTTCTCCCAGTAACAATCCAAAACTATGAACTGTGGAGTCAATAGATAAGAGATTGTTTTGATCATGCCTCAGACTGAAAAAAGACGGGGCCCCGTTGCTCAAAAGGACTGAAAACCTCCGGGCCCAAAGGAAAATTTAAAAAAAATCAAAACTTCTTGAACAGTAGTGCAGTTCCTAGCTCACAAACCACTCAATTTTGCCTTGTTGATTGATAGTTTCATTGTATCATTTTCAAAATTATTGAAACTTTGATCCTGAAGGTAAACATGGCAAACACAAAACCGCTTTCCGGGCCTGAAAAGTCACCGGGTCTTTCGAGAAACAGGCCCCTGGATAGAACCGTTGAATTAATGTAGAATTCATACTTTTTCACTATTACAGATTCCTCAGAGACCTGCAGTGCAACAAATGACTGTCACTGTTCCGCAGTATGTGTATCAAGACAGCAGGGGTGTAGTGTTAAAGAATACATATGCTTAATTACGTTACTTTTTAAAACAAAACAACTATAGGAAAAGTCCCATCAACAAGTAAACATGGACTTTAGGTTACCTGCGTAACATGTAAATGTACATAAAATACAAACTAAAGTGCATGGCTTGTTGTTAATATAGTTTTACACAGTGCTCCAAGCTTTGCTTTTCAAAGTTAGTGTTTGGCCACCGAAAATGATAATGGTTGCCAGAAATAAAATATTGATCCCCAGAAAAAAGGCACCACCTGAGGGTTTGAATCACTGGTAGTCAAAATAGCTGCCCAACTACTGCAATCAAATTTGCAGGTGCACAAAATCAACTTAGTTTTTTACAATAACACTGAACGTTATTGATCACATCATTCCCATGGTCTGTACTCTCAACAACCATATCTCTGCACCAATTGTGGGTGAAAAATTGCTCGGTTATTGTCAAACATTTTTTTTCTTGGCATGGCAAGCAAAAAGGTCACAGATTGGATTACTTATACAGCCAAGATTTTTATGATTAAATAACAGTGAGACTGTAATATATTTATATAGAAGATCAAACTTAAGTGCCTTGAAAAGTATTATAATAGCTTCAATTTATAGAAGGTTTCAAAACAAAGGTAAAGTTTACTGGTAGATTTAAGTAAGATAATCGGGATTATATATTCATATTGATTTTGTCATACAAATTTCACATCCTAAGAGATGTTTTGTTTATATTCATGCTAGTTGTTGATCATCACAATGTCTTGTTTAACAAACAGATATTGGGTTTATAACCATTGCTATGCAATGAGAGGTATTTAACACATGATATAGCAAGTCCATGTTTACGGGCTGATATCAGTGTCACATTAGCTTTTTCACGAATTGTGGTTTCTGGATATTACAATGGATTGGAAGTGACATAAAAGGCCAATAACTCACGATAGTATGGCTTGAGAAATCTTAAAATAGCTGAGTTATCTCCCTTTCAAGTGAACTCTTCTTGTCATTAGTAATGGTAACAGGACTGAGTGGAGTCCAATTCAGTCTGTAATCATACGAGTGATTAACAAAATTGCGGGACTCCGATTTGTTTAATCACAAGTATGATTACAGAGCAAATTGGACGACACGACGTTCTGTTACCAATTAATCGTGACTTTAACAAAATTTGTGATATATTATTAGGCTCTTTTTTTTAATCAAAACACAAGAAATTCTGAGATTTTTTTTGCTAGCAGTGAAAAAAAGCCATTTAAGCGCACACGTGATGGTGCATACTGTCCAATTACTTAGGCATGACGTATACTATCCTATTTAACTGTCCTATTAAGGCTGAAATCAGGGCAGTTGATAGCCAATCCGATTTAAGAATTTTGTTATAGTTATGATTAAGAGATTAATGATACAATAATAATACCTGGCTAGACCAGCAATATAGGTTACAGGTCAAAATAATATTACAGGTACATTCAGGTTAATTTTTTTTAAATTTAGGTTGATTCTCTATTTTCTTTATCTCCTGAACCTAGTTTAGGAGTTGGGACTAAGAGATAAAGAAAATCAAGAATCAACCTAGTTAAAAAATTTTTGACCTGTAACATAAACATATAAGACTGGACAAAAGTTATTAAATTTAGTTGTCAACATCACTCCTTGTAATCATAGGTGAAACATTTTGTACAAATATGGTGTAAGAATGTATATAAATGAATAAATAAACTTTAAAAAACCCACTCCTCAACATTTCTGTTAAGTTTGTTCCTACATTGTATTTTATATTATTACATGTATCTCTTCAAGAAAATCACATGTATTAATAATTAAATGCACATTATTTTCTCAAACACTCTGCTGCCTTTTTATTTATACCTTAAGGTTTTTCTAAAGATACACTTATCAATGACATTTTTTTATTTATGACCATGACTGAAAAAAAATATCAGCCATAAGTTTTGAGTAACATCATAGTTACTCACAGTGTTTTAAGGGAAGGACTTCTGACACTTTACTCATTACATTGATGAAGAAAAAACAATCAAGTAAGCGAATCAATTTTATAGGTTGAGGTAGTAACTTTAACAAATTTATCAGGTCATAGTAATATTATTTCTGATTTTTTTATTATTATGCAGTGATGTATTGTTAAAATTCATTGTGACCTTACCCAAGTTACAGAAAAACGGTAAAAAATGTGATGTTACAATGTCCAAAAAAGTATGCTGATTGTCTTTTTATTGATTTGTTTTTTATTGCAAAAATGTGTTTTGCAAAGTACATGTATTGTACACTGTATATATGCATTTTTACTGTTTCAAAGGGAGAGAGGAATATTACAGCAAACATTACTATCACTATCAAAATCTCATAATAAATAATATTAAATGAATTTAATTTACCTGATCTACTATTGTACAAATACACATTATTTCAGGTGTTTAGAAAGTTTTTTTCCCCAAGCATCAGTTTACCTTTTCACAGTTAAACAGTGTTTCAAAGGTAAAAATCATAAACTCCATTCTAGTGAACAGAAAAGGAAATTCTGTAGCATTGATTTCACACATTATGTCACTAAAACACCAACAATAGTACCTTGACTAAGATAAACATTATCAGACCCTCTATTAAAACAAACAAAACTATTTCAAAATTATATAGATATGTAAATTTGTCTGCAGTCAACTATGAAGTCATATACTTGAGCCATTGTTGGTGATCAGTGACTGTGTGGGAATTTAACCTCATCCTCCTCCACCGGCACCTAAAATGTAAAACAAAATAAGTTGTACAGTAAAATTTAATAAACTAACAGTCATAATCCTGTAAACCGGCTGTTGTAACTTGTACTTGGACCTTCCTGCCATTTCACAGTGCAAATATTTTTTCACCATTTAAGACAATGGGGTTTAAACCTTCATGTCCCAATATCCACAGATAACTTCTTCGGAGTGATTTCCAAACATTTCCTTAAATAATTAGTTGAGAAAATTTGATAAAAGATCAAACCATTGATATTGTAAGGAGAAAATTAATGTTGGTCACAAGGGACTAAAATACAAGTAATGAATTCACCTTACCTAAGTAACTGACAATATGTTAAGGGGGAAATTAATGCTACAAAGTGGCAAAAGGTTCTGATGACTGTAACCTGATATCAGGCCCAATTTTAGCGATTCTTATACATTCTCTCTAACGGCTACTGCTAAATCTGTTTTCTTTTCACCTTGCCCGCCGGAATGTTATTTACAAAGCGAAATGAAAATTGAGCCTGATCTCAGGTTATGATGACAGAGGTACATGGTCATAATGAACTACACAACAAAGTGTCTTTTCTGTTTATCCTCTGTCTTAGTTTATGAATGTGATGGGTCACAACAAGATGTTTTGTCTTAGATTTTGTTCCATAGAAGTAATATTATAATACAAGTAGCAAGTCACTGATTGTCTTGGCAGTTCGTAGCATAGCCTCTCTTGTGTTTTACACATCCTTTCCCCCACCTGTGGACTGCATCAAGGGCGAGGCAATTCATTTGCCTCTCTCCTCGCTGCCAGTTAAGGTGAAATGGGTTGTAAGGTTATTGATTCCCAAATAACATAATTTATGATGTGAATTGACAGCAGTTATCTCTATATCTTGTTGCGCAGCCATCTAGTATCTACGGCAAATGTCTGATTCCAATGACAGCCTGAGATTATTACCTCTTCTTGAAGGTCTGTAACTAAATCCTCCCCCACCTCCTGATAATGGACTGTAATCTGTAAAATCAACATTACAATGTTAACTGATTATGTGTTGCCAGGGCAACACCAAACTTGTGCTCACCCTTAAAACATTTTTGTAGCCTTTTTACAACTGATCATTTCCAAACTTAAATTTGGAGATGGGTGTATATCTTATGTGTCATGTATTTTGAATTGACATGTATTCTTTACCTGATTTTCTGAGAGGTTTGTCTGATTTCTTTGGCTTCGCAACACCTCGGGCTTCATTTGACTCATCCTTAACAAAAAATGAAAAAAAAAATCTCAGTTAAAAAAAAACAAAAACTAGTCGAATGAAAATTGATTTTATTTGTGCCCTAACAAAACAGTAGAATATTTACCGAAGATTTGAATTTTTTGGAGCGATATCCTTTTCCTTGTTGATGTCTGTCCCAGTCTTCTATCCTCTCTCTTCTTTTTTCCTCCTCTTCCTGAAATATTGGGAATCATTAAAAAAACACTTGGTTATACCACGAGAAAGAGAGAAACCCTGCCTTACAGCCACCTCAGTAATGCGATCACCAGTCATAACAACCATATATGTTCTTGTAAAAAAACCCTTGTTAATACTGTATGAATCAACCTGGGGTAAAACAAAATTAACCTGAAATCAAATTTGACCTGTAAAAGATACTCAAAATTGCAATGTGCCAAGGATGCCTCATCAAAATTGCACACTTTGAAATTCCTTTCACTCCTCAAGACCTATATTTATAGTAAACTCGGTAAAGCCCATTTATTTGATTTCATTAGTTGTTTCTTTGTCGAAGGGGCTCTTCCTTTGAGCTACACTGGCTCCACAGGTCAATACTTAAAATGTCTAAGATGAAATAAACCATGCTCACAATAACTGTGAGCATTATAATCAATATATGCTTTGAATCCGATATATGCACAAGCTACATGTATATTAATTTATAGACTGCCAGGTTGTGCTATGATACAATGTATTTCCTTAAAAAAAATTGTGAACAGAATGGGCAATGTGATAATAATATACTAACCAACTTTTTGTCTTCGATGTACTTAGCAGCCATTGCATCCTGTTTTTCCTGCCATCTCCTTCTCGCATCCTCCATTCTTTCCTGCTGAGTTGCAGCTTTAATAGGATCTAAGTATCAAGGGCAATGATTTAAGAACAAAACTGACAGCTGTTGTCATTTTTCAGCAGTTGTCTGGGAATTTGGCACTGTCAGCTCACTACCCAGATCTGGGTAGTGACGTGTCATCAGTAAGGAATTTCTGCCCACGTTTCTCAGACGTCATTTTGAGGGGAAACCAGTGGTACCGTCACCAAATGTTGGCTGTTTTCTCAGGCTAGCTCAGTGTCTCAATTCACCAATTTGCCATTTGCACATCTCCCATAGTAGACCTTGTTTTCCCCCCTAAATTTTGCATAAGCATTGTCTTCAATTTCCCTTAAGACGACCCTAATACCTAGGAGAAATGAAACACAAAGGCTATGCAAAACTTTGGGGGGCCAACAAAGTGTATTATGGGAGAATTGTGCAAATTGCAAATAATTTCTGTCTGGTATTCACATGTTGCTCCAGAAAAGGAAAAAGGGAAGGACAGCTCCCCTGAAAAACGGTTGGCTGACTGTAGGCAGGGATAACTATAGTCGTCCCTTGATTAATCACCTCCCTCGAATAATTGCCCTCCTTTGACAGAAATATTCTTAAAAATCAACTGCCTAGAATAATCACCCCCCTCCCCACCCCTCTTGCCATCTTCTCTTTCTTTTATCCCCTCCCTGTCAAGCTGAAGTAGACTCTGATCCAGCAAAACTGATCAGTGATAATTCAAGCTATGAAAATTAACCAAGGAACCAAATTTGAAACACTTAAAAAGCCCATGTTCAGTTTATTTGATGCGATAATTTTTTTATTTAATATTATCGGATAATAAAACAAAATATTTAGGGCGCGACTTCCAGTGACGAATATTTGAAAATATAATCACCTTGATTTGAAGAAATAATTATGGTACTGCAGCAGTAAAGGTGTGTTTTTTTTAGTTTATATTTTACCCATGACGAGTGATCTTGAAATATATTATTACTCAAGAGGAATAATTAACACTTTTGTCGTCTTTATTTACCATGGTCATAGAATGTCAGTGGTCTGTTGGTCAACAGTTTACTGACAGTTGGCTGACAGAATTTTAGGGGGGCTATTCAACACTTTTACCCTCAAAAATATATAAACTACTTCCATAGAGGGTTTCTTATTAAGATCGCTCACCAAAATGGTAGAACAAAGGCCAGACAGGCCATCTGCTCTCTCGCCAAACACTTTGCAGAGTACCACTTTATATTTCACACCTTCCTTAAAAGATTTGGCTTCCAAAACTTCTCTCCCTTTAAAATTCATTCCTCAAACAAAAACTTCAACTAGCAAGCAAGACAAGAATGATATAGGCCAAAATTACTCACCAAAGTTTGCAATTTCTCTTTGGCGCTCCCATCTGTCCTGTAAATCTTTCCAATACGGCCTCAGTTTTTGCCACAGGAAGACTAAGATAATCAGACCAAGAACAATGAACCAGCCATAACGTTCCAAGAAAGAGACACCTGCAAGTTTTTTAAGGAAAGGTATTGATAATGTGAAGCAAGAGGGTGGAAT